CGGCCCATATACGGTGAAGTGAGAGACTTAAATTTGCATTTATTCATTTCATTTAGCTGACGCTTTTATCCAAAGCGACTTACAATTGCTATATTTGTCAGAGGTTGCACGCCTCTGAAGTAACTAGGGGTTAAGTGTCTTGCTCAGGGACAAATTGGTGTCTCACAGTGGATTCGAACCCAGCTCTCTCACACCAAAGGCATGTGTCTTCTTAACCACTGCGCCATCACCACCCCATTCAAGACTATAGGTTTTGTGAATTTTGTCAGTGTTTTGGAGCACACCATATAAAAGGAAGGCTAGAATATTCATACTAAAAGCCGAAAACCTTAATATTTCATTTCATGGGGACTTAAAGATGAACTGAACTGAAATTTGAGAAAAGGTGATATAACAGATGTATTTTATTTATTCTCATTGGTACAATTTTTAAAATGGCAGAATTTGTTAAAAGGGATAAAATGGTACATTAAAAGTGTTGTTTTTGTTACACGGGCGCCGCCATGTTGGATTTCAACGTTCGACTACGTCACTGGCATGGTAAGCCACTCCGTTGCCTACCCGCACCAGCAGAACAGCCGTAGCTTGTAAACAGTCTGAGGCTCGCTGACATGGCTGAGGAAACAGATTTTTTAGCGACACACTATTTAGAGATGTGTACTTTCGTCAATGAGTACATGAAACGTCTGACAATGCATGAAATGTTTTATTTACACAAGTTACAAGTTCAATGCATCACGTTAACGTTACTCGAATCCTTGATATTGGGGTGAGGGGGAAAAGATCCCTGATGTATAGTTTACTGTAAAGGATGGGATTTTCTCCTTCCTAAATGCACCCTCGCCCATAGAGTGAACTGCCAGTACGTTGTTAATCTAAACAATCTGAGAAAAGTGTAACAAGTTAGCCCAGCCGTCACCTATTCGTAAAATACCCTATGGGGCGCTCGCGTCTCAGCTCGGACATCCATTAGAGACAGCATAGCCTCCTTCAACACGTTTCTCTCACCGAACAGCATCCGAAATGAACGGTGCATGGTGATGCATTTTTCGCCGATCAATAAATGTCCATGTTGACCTCTCTGCAACAGATCGTCTCCGTGCAGTGTCTATGCGCCACAGCGCTCGCGCCCACAGTCACTTTCCCCCAAACGATCCTGTACTGCAAGTGAAGCCTGAAACTGATCGTCCTCCATGTGGTGGTAGTTAGACACTACCGGCCTGTCCCTCACGGGCTCAAATGCGTAATCCATGCCGTTAAAAGTGCTCATTTTCGTCTGTGTATACAGGACCTACAGCTGTTGTCTATGGCGCTCCGCGGGTCCTACCATGCCAGTGACGTCATCGGAACTGCCAGCGCAAACAAGCGCAATTTTGCGTTGCTTAAAAAAGCTATATTAATATATATTTTAAAAAAATGTTTAGTGTAATTTACTTTTAATTGTCATAAACAACACGTTTTCAAAGTCGAAATTTTTCAGTTCAGTTCATCTTTAAAGTAAAACGTGGCTCAGCTTAAATCTCTCTCACTTCTATCAAATTACTAATAAGTTAGCATGGATAGATGGTCTGTAGGAATGTGTAGCATTTAGATAATGATCAGCATTTTGGCTCCGCATGGACACCTCTTGTTTGTTAACCTTTAACCCTTTGCTTATCGATCTCAGCAATTGGGAGGTGTCAACTGTAGTCTCTCTATCTACAAGTTTTATGTTTGTTTGCAAGCATCATCTGCTTAGATACAACCATTTGTCATTCAGCCTACCTAAAAAGACACAGATAACAGGGAGCAGTGCAGTTTATGTGCACCTTGTCCCTGCTTGCTCTTGAAAGAGCAGCACCTCAAGGAAGATTAATTCTCCTTGCTGCCCAGCTTTCAATGCAAGGATGCTAAACGAGGTGATGAATACAGTACCATGAGTTATCATACTCTGAGGAATAGAAACATCACATCTGATCCTGCAGTGGTGATTCACTGGTGGACGTGGATGCCTCTCAGTGGACAGTAATTGTGTGAGAGAGTATGTTCCTGCCCATCAGGGAAGAAGTGCTTTGATTAATGCAGGGAAAGTGAAACAATCTATATATAAAACAAACATTTAAAGGGGATGTCTAAAGTTATTTCATGCATTCTGACTTATTTACACCGTGAAAGAGTTGGATTCTCATGCTAAACATGGAAAAAAAAAAAAAAATTCTCGAGCATGGTCTTAGATAACGTCAGAAAGGGTGGAATTCCTTGTATGGGCACTTCCCCTGGAAGTGCTCGTGCACACATTAACCAGAGCAAGAAGAAAAGGTTCTATATAGAAGGTTCTATACAGAACCCTTTTTAAGGATTCAATAATAAGATAAGAACCCTTTAGGGTTCTTTCTAACCAGGAAAAAGGTTCTATGTTTTGTCCTTTCCGGATTAAATATTTCATGTAATTGACAAACATCAAGACCCTAAAATGTATTTATGAATGCATGTGAATGATCACAAAATTCAAGATATGGGGGTTAGAAAATGTATAAATTTATATCATTTTATGTAGTTAATCAATATCACACGAAGAGTGCCATTTAAGTTTTTCTCCTCCAAAAATCAGCATGATTAAAGTGTGATATTAAGTCACTACAACAGTTTAATAAGCAATAATTTAATCACAACTACAACATGTTGCAGAATAATGTATAGAATGAATAATAGCCTATATAGAACCTTTGTGCCAAAAGGCTTCTTTCTTGTCATTATAGAACCTTTTTTAGCATAAAAGTTTATTTGGGGTTGGGTAAAGAACCCTATACTTCATAGATAGAAGAAGCCCAATGAACCCAATGCAACAGCCATCAACGTAAGCCGTTTGTAGTAAGCAGGGCTGTCATTTTCTTTATAGACCACTAAATCAGTGTGTTTTAGGTTGTGAGGGAAAGATAACCTTGTTCAGCTTCCCTAAGAACCCAGCAGGGGAGCAGTGGATGCAGTTCATTTTTCCAGGGCAGCAACAGTCTGTTTGTTTGTTTCCCGTATTTTGGTGACAAATATTTTAGAAACAAGGCCCAGTTCGACAGTGGATTTGCAGATCGTTTGAAGCTGAAAGATGGAGTGGTTCCAGCATTACACTATCCCTGTCATGAGTCGGAATTGCAGACTGTAAGTAGCGTCAAATTTGTGTATTTTGTTGCCGATTGGTGCGTAAGTGCATACAGTATAATGTTAACAACACGAACACAGTGAATCTACGAGTTATCCACGGATAATGCGATGATGTCTTTTTAGGACACTTTAGCTCCACCTACGCCACGCCCCTAGGAGCTCTGCTGTTTTCGAAAAGAATCGGTACAGCTGTATTTATATTTTATAAATCTGATAAAACTAAAGACTCTACCGTTAAGGAACAAAAAATATGGGAATGTAAATGTGATATAATGTGATAGTTTCCTGTGAGGTGAAAATCTACTAATTTAAATTGAAAATTGAAATAAAAAACAATCAATGTTATTTTATGTTGCTGTATGCTGCTATAGGATTATATTCACAACAGACACCACCTTTAACTTTTCAATTGGCAACTGCCATTGCTCTGAGTTCAGTGTTCAGTCTAAGTATGGTTTTCAGTCAGCTATAGGCTGCTCGAGTGGTATTTGAAAGTACAGAAAACTGAGCTTTGACAAACCTTTGACTAGAACTACCTTGAGAGCTTGAATAATCAGTTCTGGATAATAAATATAAAGACAAGGTTGTTTTCATTTACTAGCTGGGATTGTATGTGGGCGGACATGATGGCATCACCTGTGAGATGTGAAAGAGCAATTTACTGTAAAATGTTTCAAATAATCAAAAAACAATTGGAACTTTCTAGACTGTTGATATGGCAGAAGCAAATATAAAATGTCCTCTTTTTATATAACAACATACAAGTAGTGGAGAGAACCAGGAGCTTCATCCCAATGTGAACTATGTGAATTAGTGATCATTTTAAATGTGCTCCATGATCTCACAATCAATAATGAATGGTTTTATAGCACTGCATAGTGAAAGCTTAACCTCAAACTCCTGCACAAACCTTCATACCATCAAATTGTTTCCTTTCCATTCACACTCAGTTAAGGACTGAGGTTGTCCTTCACTTTGCCCCACTGTTCCTGGAACGGTGCTCTCTCACTAAACAGTTGGGCAAGAGTTGTGTGTCAAGCAGAATAATCATGTGGTCTACTGGGATTCCTGCACTTGGATGTTTTTTGTGTTCCAAAACCTCTTTCAAGGTGAGAGAGCAATTCCTCATTGTCTTATGTGATGGAGGAGATCCAGCCTTATCTGCCAATCACACAGGGGACCAAGGGCTTCATCTTGACAGAATCGGATCTGACTTTTCAAGTCACTTTCTGGATATGCCTGACTGTCACTGTTTATTTTGCTCAAACTGATGACGAGCTGGAACAGTTTTTCTACAAGTATGCTCAGCCTCTCAGTTGCATGACAAATAGTCCCATGTGAGTGGCAAGAGTCTTGTTGTTGAATTGCCAGGCATCTGTAGGAGAGGCCCTCTACTCTTTTCCTTAACTGGCACTTACTAGCAGCGGGATCCTAGCTGGTTCCTTCCTGAAATTCTCTTGAGACAAGCTCTATATAATTATTATTTTATTCTTGAAGTTGAATTCTGTTATTGGAATGGGTAGCTGTGGCGAATGAAGCTTACGATGACAACAAAGTTACTTATAACTATGGAAAACTCAGGAGAATCAGAATAAACAGCCACTTATAAACAAGAACAGACAAAGAAACAGACAGAAACACAGGCTATAAATGCATGAGGCAAACAAAGGGAAGGAATCAGGACAGCTGAACAGAATAAATAATCAATCAGTTACAAATGCGACTAATGAAAACCCAAAGGCAGACAAATGGGGAAATAACCAACAGAAACAAAACATGAATGAACGTTAGGTTCAACTGGAGAGAGGGTGGGGCCTCTGGAGGAGGACAAGTAGCTGGTGAAAAGCTGGCCAATGAGATACAGGCAGGAAGAGTCACGGTGGCACATGCGGCGAGGGGAGCCATGGAAAACTAGGAGCAGACGCAGGCTGATGGTGGAGTCGGAGGATGGAGTAGCCATGGAGGTGGGGATGATGGACGAAGACAGAGCCAATGATGGAAGTTCAACGCACAGACGAAGAGCACATGGTCCAGAACGAGATCTTTGAAGGCGGCGACGGAGCAGTGGCGACGATCCCCCGAGGTGAAGCCAGAGTACAAGAGACCCTGATGGCCGATGCAGAACCGGTGGGAGGGTGGAGCCAGATGGAGTCATAGGGGTGAAGAGACATAGCATAGCGGACGGCTCATAAGTCCGTGGCATAGATGCTGTGTCGTCTGACCTAGATGGAGCCAGAGGGTCAAGGGCGCCAAAAGTTCTATTCTTTCTAGTGGAGCTGAGGGAGGAAGGAATGAAGCTGGAGGAGCCTGGAAGACGGGCCAAGGTAGAGCATTAGGAACCACGGCTGGAGGCGGAGCCAGGGGATCTGTGCGTTCAGCCAGCACTGGTAAACGGCAGGCCTGAGGTGGATGTGGCCGAGAGGCTGATGGGAGATAGCGGGAACTCAAGGCTGAGGTCTCATGAACTTTGGTAACATCCATACATTTGATTACATTCAATTGACTTTATGCACAGCTGCACTACTTCCTGAACTTAAGCCAGCTCCTTTTTTCCTTTATGCCATTATTGGCCAAACTTGATTAAAAAGTTAAAAGTTAAAAAGACAAAAGTAATATATATATATATATATATATATATATATATATATGAAGAGTTCAGATGCAAAAGCCTCTAAATGCCATTTGAAATTTTCTTCTAGAATTATCATTTTTATCAAGCTTGTATATTTAAGTTCAGTAATTTCACTTAAATGGCAATGATAATTACCTATTAATTGTTATTTAAGTGAAATTACTGAACTTAAATATACAAGTTTGATAAAAATCATCATTAAAGAAGAAAATTTCAAACGGCATTTAGAGGCTTTTGCATCTGAACTCTTCATATATATATAATATATCTCAATTTCAATAATTTTCATCACAACAGTAGCCTTAGTTTACACCAGGAAAGACTAAGTCAAAATGTTATTAACATAATACTGAACTTACTATCCTGTTTTTGAACAGACAATTCAGCTTCCTGTTGTGACCAATTTGCTTTAAATTAGCAGTCATGAATTTAAAGGGCGGTACGTCTTAATTTCTGATTTTTTATGACACATGCAAAAATATATATATATATATTTTTTATGTAATGCAAATTAATGTTTATTTAACCAAGAAAATGTGACAACTCAACTCTATTCAACTTTATTTATATTGCACCACTAAAACAACAGTTGACTAAGGTGCTGTACACTATATCAGACATCATTAGCATTTAACACCAAGTACAACATAGATTACAAAACACAGAACAGACCAAACATAACTCGTATCAAATAAGCCAAAGAAAAAAAAAAATACGTTTTGAGTTTTACTTTAAAGGAACACTCCGACTTTTTGGGACTTTAGCCTATTCACCTTACCCCCCAGAGTTAGATAAGTCCATACATACCTTTTTCATCTCCGTGCGTGCTATAAGTCTGTTTGACGCACCCACCGCTAGCCTAGCTTAGCACAAAGACTCGATGTGAATGGTTGCAGCTTTCATACTGATCCAAATAAGTGGCAAAATAACGCAAACGTTTTCCTATTTACATGTTGTGATTTGTATAGTCACATAATGTACAAATAACAAAGTCAAATGAGACACAGACATCTTTAACCGTATAAAAAACCTGGGAACTATTCTCTGAAGGCGAAGCACTGCTACTTTGACGGCGTAATAACCGCATCACCGAGACAAGCCGTGGTGAGGAGCGAGAGTTTCGCTCGGTGTTTGGGTAATAGAGTCAGAAATTTATAAATAGTAAAAGCGTAGTTTAGAGTCATGGGTTTTCGCTCTATTTTAAATAGCTGCGACTGTAAACAGGGGAGGTAACCATGGTTTCACAGAATTCCAACTAAAAAACGCTGACTGGATGAAGAAATGGCTAACTTACTCTGGATATTTATCCAAACACACCTAAGATTATCAAGGGACATTATGTTTGCTCGTACATTTCAATGAGGACGACTATTTTGAAAAAATGGAATTTGCCACAGGACGGACATAATGTGCTGAAGGATACGGCCATCCCCATCGATAGCACAGACAGGACAAGTGGATCACCTGCGGGCCTGCGGCTGAGGTAAGTGTTCCGTTATGTTTTTAGATGACCTACTGTAACAGTGCCATTATTAGCCAGATCTAATGTAACGTTAGTGACACTATTATATGATTAGGGTATGAATGTGTTTTTATCTTGATGCGGTGCGGACGCGCTTGGGAAAAAAAAACGAGCGCGTTCACCGCGTTGAACTTGCACCCTGCGCGCGGCGCGCCTAGTAGCCTAAATTTGAAATAACCATGGAAATAACAAACTTGAGCGTGCAAAAGGGTACGATAGGCTGTGAGTTCATTGTGCAAAAACAATTTGTGCTATTACTTTCCCCTTATTCTATCCTATAGTAATGCAATACTGTATAGGCTACTGTTGAATACATTTGGTTCAGCTAATAAATTGCATTTAAAATATATTGATTCCTGTAATAATAATTATTTATTCATGTGATATTTATAAATCTGGGTGCGTTTTTGGTTGGAAATCAATGAAACATGGTACTGTATTACCTGGTCTCCCCTGTTTATTGTCACAGCTCATACAATAAAGCAAACACCCATGATAAACTATGCTTTTCTATCTAACGTTAGTAATTGCTGACTCTTTATTCCAACGCTGAGCGAAGCGAACTCTCTGCTCTTCGTCACGGTGCGTCTCAGGTGATTGTTATCACTCTGCCCAAGTAGCAGTGCTTCCCCTTCAGAAAATATAGTATTTATACGGTCAAAAGATGTCTGTGTCTCATATGGCCATGATATTTGCACACTCTGTGACTATACAAACCACAACATGTAAATAGGAAAACGTTTGCGTTATTTTGTCACTCATTTGGATTAGTATGAAAGCTGCAACCATTCACATCCAGTCTTTGTGCTAAGCTAGGCTAGCGGTGGGTGCGTCAAACAGACTTATAGCACGCACGGAGATGAAAAAGGTATGTATGGACTTATCTAACTCTGGGGGGTAAGGTGAATAGGCTAAAGTCCCAAAAAGTCGGAGTGTTCCTTTAAACTCATGCAGTGAAGAGGTAGTTCTAATGAGAACATGGAGGCTGTTCCAAAGTTTTGGTGCAGCAAAAGCTCAATATCCTCTCGTTTTTAGTCTAGCCCCGAGGTACATTTAACAGTCTCTTTTTGGATGACCTAAGAGACCTTCCAGAATTGTCACTGGATAATAGATCAGACATAGATACAGAAGCTAATCCAATCAAGGACAACATTAAGTGTAACTGCATGGACATGAATTTAGATTTGATTTATGAAAACAAAGTGAGGACTCTGCCGCCTCTTTCTCATGTCAAAACAGCGCTGCAAGCCACTGCTTTTCAGAATAAAGCTGGATGGATGGATGGACGGACGGACGGAAGGACAGACTGACAATTTATTAAATTAAATTCCTCTAGCTGTCATTCAAATTCCAATTCAGTTTCCTGTTGTGGCTAATTTGATTTAAATTCACATTCATAAATTTAAAGGGAGGCAATTATTCATTTCTAAATGTTACATGTTCTCCAATTTTAGAAAGCCAATAATTATACTGCAAAATAGAGACAGCTGATCCCGTAGCCTCCATGTGTCTAGGTCAAAAGTAAAAGAGATTAAAAGAAAAAAAAATAATGGGACAGAATGAAGCTGTGAAAGAACTCCCAGTGGATGTGACGCGCTGGTGCCTGGTAGTGGGAGAATGTTTCTTTTAACAACAAATAAAAAAATATAAAACAAGGAAACTGTGAGATATTTGGTGACAGGTCGCAAAAAGCTTCCTGTTTTGCTTGACGAAGGGGACCGGGAGCTCTACATCCATACGGTGAGCCTGCAGTCTCAGATGAGAGGGCACCACTCTTGGGCCCTTTACACTCTGTTGCCTGCAAAAACTGAGAAAATGTTCTGGGTGGAGCTGTGAAATTCAGTGCCCATCACCACATCCTTCTACTAGGCCACAGGTTGCTCTGAGTCACTGACAATACTGAGCAGAGACACAAAGGTGAGGTCATGTGAACCAAAGTGACCTTCAGTTATGATTCCACACAGGCGTTCTAAATGCTTGATATTTTTATGAAAGTGTTTCTTAAACAAAAATGGCTTATTAGTCCCATGTTTACCCAAACGGCTCATTAATGTCGACTATTGCTCTGATCCTTGTTATGCACTTACTGTACAAGCTTCTCTAATGCCATAGAAGGATTCAGCCTAACAAATAGAGAACAGAGGAAGTCTTTATTAACAAAATTGACTAACATAGACCCATCTAAATTTATCACATCTGCTTCAACACTTATTCCCTTCTTACGTAGATAATGGGACATGGGATGAAATGTTTCACTTTTTTTCTCTGGCTGCATTCATATAGCCTGCATGGAAGAAATATCCATGAATTATGAATGCACTCATACATACTTAAGTCTGCTCAAAAGTTTGTGTCTCTTCCTCTGAATTCCATGTTGTTTATAAAGGCTTTGAATTTACAATATAAATTTCAAAGTTTGGCTTTGTGCTAATACAAAGTGATAAACCTTTTAAAACACAGAAGTGTTATTTTAATCAGGTCAGAAATCTAAAACTTTAAATATGCTTTAGATTCGGAAGGAAGGAAGGAAGGAAGGAAGGAAGAGTTGAATGAATATAAGCACATTTGAACAAACAAATGTTCAAACATTTAAATGAACACACTTTTGAACTCATTTTTAAACAAATTAACAGATTTACATTTGAACAAATGCACATTTGAATGAACAAACAAATTACATTTGAACGAACACATTTTAAATGACACGTTTGAACAACTTAGAAATTTGAACGAACAAAACAAATGCACATTTGAACAAACAAACAAATTCACATTTGAACGGACGCACATTTGAAATAACAAATTT